TTTTAAACTCGGTTTTCCAGGTCATCTCGGGCATGGGCCCGAATTGGGCAATTTCACCAAAGACAGAAATGCTTCGAGAAGGCGCGTGCCAAAGCTGGTGACTGGTGAAAAGGTCGGTCTTTGAAGAGACGCATAGTGAGACGCATGTGTTGGGGATCCATAGCATCCATCGTTGGCCTTATTGCTTCATCCTACATCGATGCCAGGGTGCGATGCCTTTTTGATTCTTTTTTTGTGATGCCTCTTGTATCAACCACTGTTATCCGTTTTTTTTCGTTGTTTGTCCGTTTTTCCACAGGCGAGACAAGCATACCAACAGGCAGTAAGCCTGAACGCATCGGAGCATGGCTGCTTAGCCAATTTGGCTCAGCTGGAGGCACGGAGCTTCCGCGTCGAAGCAAGTCGGCACAAGGCTTTTGCTCTGCGCGGCTTTTTCCTTCGTTCTCGCGTGGAAGCATCTGGAACCGAACAGCAGTGGGGAAGTGGGGGATCATCTTCTTCAGCGGAGTGCACAGTGCACAGTTTTGTGAAGCATTTTTCAACGGAACATCCACGAATCCCTTCTGCGACCCAACACCGCAGAGCGAAGCAACGTTAAAGCAAGGATCTCTCCGGTCCGTTCGCCGCAATTTGGAGTGTTTTAAAGGAAACTATTAAGCGTTCAGTGAGCACTCCCCTCGATCTTCAGGCACATGCTGGTAATGTCACCAAAGCGAAGGCTGGGAGATGGCGATCTCATCGATCTCATCGCCCTGCGCGTGCCCTGCGCATCTTTGTGCCTCTGTGCTGCTGCCGTTTCTTCCGCTGCACCGTTTCGAACGAAGCCACGGAGTGGCTAGCAGGAAATGCTAGCCGCGGCGCTGCAGCTGGATCCTTCCAACAAGGACGGTTCTTGACATGGGTATGTTTGATCTTTTGTAGACTGGAGGGGAGGGACAAGAGTAAGTCAGTCACACTCAAGTGCCAAACTACTGCTTCCAGTCACTCTTGTTGCAGAACTACATCTCCTTCAGCCAATGGTTGGCGAACGGGAGCAGGGTTCTTCTTCTTGAACCTGCCTGAAGAAGCGTGTTTGACATCGAGGCGTTTTAGAAGCGGTAAGCGCATGTGACATTGGGGTTCAAGCTGAAGCACTCGCAGTTGCATTTGAAGTCTGATACAGGTCCACGTGAACTTCGACTGATGCGCCATGTACAAAAGACATGCAAAGGACATGTTCAGCTCAGGGGCAAAAGTGGGGCAAGATCATGTTTGCACTTGCAGAGCAATTCACTGGTTGTTTTTTGCGAACCCCGGAGAGTGTTCCGACAAATATCAGACCATGAGGCTCACATCCGACCAGTCACTGCACGTATCACTGCAAAGCAGCTTACAGTTTTACTTTAATTGGACTCGAGAAATCGTAACATACAACACAAACTGAGCACTGGCAAGACCAACCTTTACCTTTTGGACCTTTGATCTCAATGGGCGAGTGCCATCCTCTACGGCAGCATGGTCATTCAAATGCTCGCCACCGTCATCTCCTTGGCTTCTCTTGGAGTCAAAACCGACAAGTTTCAGTCTTCTGCCGGCTCACTTAGGCATGGCATCGTCTCGTGAGTCAAATGAATCCTCAGGAGCAGGCCACGGGCGAAATCGCGAGCGGTTGGATCCGTCTCTTCTTTTGGTCGAAGGGTTTGCTCAGTGTGTGCAATTGATTGGAACCAAAGGCCGGGGGAGCTTTTCTTTGACCTTTTGATCTTCCTATATCTTCCTTGGAGGCAATCAACACCACAGAGGATCAGGACGTACGACTTTGCAAGGCCTTGCTTTTCAGAACTGGAGTGAATATGATTTTTCACTGAGAGAATCCTTTGCCCCTCCTGGTGCCACCTTGAATTCCTGATGTGTTTTGCTGCTGCAGACGTGCAGACGTGCAGCTTAGCAAAATCGCAGGATTTGCTCAACCGAATCAACCTGGGTCAATTCCGTCCCGTTCCAGCTGGTGTCTCAGACCTGAAACGTGTGGCTCAGCAGGCTCAGGTGTGGGCTGTGAGAGGCATGATTTCATTGGCCTCAGGTGGGAGGTGGACAGGCTTTAACAGAGTGAGATCCTCAGTGAGGCATCCTCAGTGAGTGTTTTTTTGATGCAAGGATTCACTTACACTGAGGCCAGTGTCTCAGCCAGCTGGCACGAGTACTGGCGGTACAGATTCAGCTGGTGGCACAGACTTGTGGATGATCTCTTACTCTGTGGGGACTACTCTGCCTGGATTACTCTGCGTAGATTAGTACGTACTTGTAATAATGACTCTGCGTCGATTTGGACTTTCTGATACTTTGCGCCTTTTCCAGCTGCTGCCCGAAGCGCTGAAGTCTTTTTTTCCGCCCAGACTGAGGCGGCACACTCTGAAGCAGTCCCCGCCCCCGCACCCGAAGATCTTCGTGCCCAAAGGAGCTTTTGGGATGACGCGAGACCTTGGAAGCTCTAAGTATGGCGCGCTTGGCGCGCTTCAGGCTGGCACATTTTGAACAGAGTCAGCAGTAACAAAAACACGTCATGGCCTCAGTACTTCCAAGTCAGCAAGAAAGGACTGTTGATTTAATCTCCACATTCCCACCAAATCAAGAAGCAAAGACCTAGGTACGCAATGGGGTATGCAGCCATATGTGCTGTCACAGAGCAAAGGCTGCTGCACCGTGAAAGAGGATGGCACGAGTTCCGGCACGTGTGTTCTTTCTTGCCGTGATGGAGATGCGAGGAGCTTTGCTAGGAAAGCAAGCAGTTTGCTTGGCCTCCCAACTTCAACAATTCCGATCTTTTTTGTTGCGTTTCATCTTGTGCGGCCGGTTCCGCAGCGAATGGATCTTCCCAAATTCTGACCGACAGGATGAGAGAATGGGCAATGAATCAGAGTACATTGCACAGTACATTCAACGGCAGATGGATCCGCACAGTTAAAGGAACACCTCCACAGTACGCAAGCAAGAGATCACGCGGGTTTGAGCACGCAAGAGAGCCTTTGCTGGTTATCTTTCAGAACAAAAGAAGTAACTAGGTATAACTAGATTGAGGGTGACTGAAAGAGAACCATGACAATTACTTGATGCACCAAAGAATAGATGCGCAACAGGAGAAAGGTTGCGCTCGCTGGTGGGTACAGGTCAATTGGACATGTTATCAACCAGTCAGATCAGTTGGCGAAACAGCCCTTGTTACCACTGAGCTTGTATTGCCATGGCGTGTTGCCGACTACAGCTGTCCTTTTTGCATGGTTGTTGCGATGATGTCCGAGAAGTGATGTCTTGGAGCCACGAGCTCTTTTTCTCGCGACGTGAGGTTCTCACACTGACTCACCCTTTCGCAGCCAGGCACCGGCAAGCCAACTTGGCCAAAGGACACGAGTGGAGCTTCGAGATTTTCCAGGTTTTAATGTTCAATGTTTCGCATGCTGAGAGCCGAGAGTGGAGTAGCTGAGAGCCGAGACCTGGACGGGAGAGCGACGTTTGAGGATGGTGGCCTTCCAGCTGGACCCAAACGGCCTTAGGAGGCGTCGGGCTCCCAGCCCGGTAGGGTGCCAGTGGCAGGCCGATAGGCCCGGCAGGCGGTTTCAACGAAGTTTTGAGAGGCACTTCGTTGTGCAGCCGAGGTGCGTGGATTTATTCGACATCCTGTCAAAGCAACAGGTCTGTCCTCAACGAGCGGCATCAACGAGTCTGTCTCATCAATGAGCGAGCGGCGTCCGATGGTCGGCCGAAACGCGCAGGTCATATTCTCGGGCATAAGATGGAAGTGATCCAGGGGCAGTGAACTGAGTTCAGCGGAGGTTGCGCGGTTGAAGCTCCGAAAGGGAGGCTGCTCAATTCAGAGCATGTTACATCACTGCTCCAATGTTGGAGACATTTTGAGGCACAATGTCATTCATACATTTGATGTCTCTAGAAATCGCTCTGACATCCACATTCATCTTCTCAGTCTTCTCAGTCTTCTCCGCTCTCTGAAGAGAGACCGCAATGTGTTTCTCCGTGTTTCTTCTTCGCTCCGCCGAGGTCGCGCAAGCGCCCCTCGTGCCCCCGGGGAGGTCAAAAACCGCACCGAGATCTGACGTCCTTTCGGATGGATGAGGCTCTAGCGTTTCGTTTAGGCTAGCGCTGTGAAAACGTGCCGAGACTTGGGGCAGCAAAAGAGTGACTTTGGTGAGGAACAGCGCGGGGTACCGGGCTGTAGTTGAAGACATTGGCCGCATTGGCCCGTGGGGGGGATTTCAGGAAGTTGGACCAACAGCCTCGCCTATGCGTGATGCGTTTTTGAGTCCTTGAGTTGCGAAAGTGAAGCGAGCTTCGCATGAGATGGCTTTGCAGGTACATGCCGCCGAAAATCCCCAAGCACCCATTGCAAGACGTTGAGTTGAACATGAATGAGGTTCTTACATACAGTTTGGGTCTAAGTGATGTGCGTTTTTGCTGATGCATGCCTACTGTAGTCACGTCTGATAAATCCCAGGTGATTTGAAGCTCCGCTGGCAATGGACCACTCGCTTCTCGACAAGTCGTATGAGGGTGCCTCATCGCAGAGCTGGATAGATGACATTGGTGAGTTAAAAGCGATCCCAGCTGAGGTTAAACGTGTTCTTTCTCCATACCAAATCGATTTGACGCTTTGATGAGTCTTCTTTTGCTCAGCGAACGTGTGAAAGCCATGTCAAGAAGCAGCTTTGCCCGACTCTATCTGCGCTTGCCTGCAGATTGCACGGCATTGGAAACCCACGAGAACGGAATTTCCACGTCCCTTGGATGGAATCGATCATCATAAATCCCTGTTTGTTTGGAATTGTGACCTCCGCTGTTTGCAGGCAATAAACCGACTTGTTCCTTTATTTGGCATGACCAAATGCCGCACAGGACCCGCATGCCGTGGGCATTTTAGGAGTTGAAAAACGCCAGATTTTTACTTTATGTCTACCTGGTACCTTGTGTGAGGACTCGTCTGCCGGAACTACCGGAGCCTGAAACCTTTAAAAGGCCGCAGCTTTTCTCTCTGGAATTGGTATGGACGTTTGCAGAAACAGCTTCTTGAGTGACAGGATAAAGGAGCAGGAGCTGTTCTGCGTGTTTAAGAGCAGCTTGACAAGCAGCCCGTCCTCTTCGTACCTCACTTGTCTCTGCTCGTTGCTCCAAGGCAGTGTGTTTCATCAACACAAAGTCACTGCCCGGAGCCAAGTCGCGATCTTTGGTTCTTCACTTCTCATACCGGTCAACACCTGGAGCCCCGACCAGTCCACCATGTAGCGATTTCGACCTGAACGCGCGTGTTGGTCGGGACGGTCTCTGGGTGCTATGACCCACAGACAGGATTGCATGTGCAATCCTGTGCTGAGTGAAACGGTCTCCGGGTGCTATCATACTCGAAGTCCCAACAGGAGAGAATCTGTCAAAGTCCTGATGGAGACCATTCTTGGACAATATGTTATACTGATGCAGCAATAGAGCTCATTTGCACTTGCCAAAGGAAGGTCTTTGTTGGCTTACAGAAACGTGCGAGTCCATGGGTGATGTTGGGATAACATAATTTCTCATTTGTGAACACTGGCGGCTGGACTGGCTACGATGTCACAATTGCACACCCATCAGCACGCACCTTTAGCTGCCAATAGCTGTTGCTTGAGCCGTCAGAGCCATTTATGAACTTCTGGATGGATGTTCCTCATTGTTCATCCTTTCAACATGCCATAGGTCTTGACTTTGCTGGCCAGCGGTTCCCGCTGCACAAGTAGTCCTCAGGTTGGTGACATTGTGCAAGCAGAAAAGCTTCATCGTCGAGACGCAGGAGAGAAGGTACCTCGCGGTTGGTCCAGAGATGGCCCAGATCACAAGGGGCTCAGAGGAAGTTTTGTTTATGAATGGAAGGCTGGACAATTCAAACGGACGCTCGCCGATCGTCGTCAGCACAGAGCACGTCAGCAGTCATGGGAGATGGACGGCCCCCCTTCCTCGATCCGATCTAACACGGCAGCCGTTCGCACCACCACAGATCATTCTAACACGCCGATTCATGCGGACCAGCCTTTTCACAGAACCAAATTCCGAACAAATAGTGAAAGGTATCGAAGGAAAAGTAATCTTCCACGCAAGCAAGCTAGCCTTTCTTTGCTTTCAAGCGTGTGCTGGACGTGGAACAACATTTGCTTACGGTCCTTGAACTATAGGCTGATTGTTTCACGCGTTATCACAACCAGATTCTTTGCAAGACATATCGCCCAAACCCAAACCGTCGTGAAACACTCTTGCCATCCGGTGCCAATAGCCGGCAAAAACATCAAGAAGGCCATCAAGGAAGGTAAACGGAAAAAAGGTTGCTGGAACCTGGCCGGCTCAGTAGTTTGGGGGTCTGAATGCACTGTGCATCTACACAGAATGTATATGATAGAGTATAGAGTTGTTCCTGTAACAATATCGAAAGAAGCGACGCTGCAAAGAGGGTTTGGTGCTTACCAACCTGGAGTTGTTTGTTCAGGTGTCACCGATCGTTCCCCACCGAATCCGTTGGATCGACTTCCCTTTCCGTGGCAAACACCTTGTGCCATCGTGTGGAAGACACGACACACCGTCCGTCCGGACGCACGGACCGCGGTCGAACGCGGCGCGGTCGGAAGCCACGGCGCGCTCCGGCTGAGCCTCGGTCCAGGTGGTCTTTGGGACGGTGCTGCTGGTGGGGTCCAAGGAGAGTAATTGGAGAGAAAAGGCAGCAAACTCGCGCTTTCGTCAGTTTGGCCGAGCCGCTTTTGAAAGCCAGGACTTCACAATACTGGGGAAACCCACAGTGCCTGGGGCTTAGAGTACGTGACGTGTTTGGAAGTTCTCAGGGTCCCAGTGTGAAGTACTAGTACACGGAAAACGCAAAGACTGCAGGCCTTATGCGAAAGTAAAGGCAACCATAGAGCCCGTGCCTCGGTGGTCGAGTGCAAGCCACGACAGCACTGTGTAGTCAATGTTACAGTTACGCTCACTGCCTCCAAACTGTTTGCAGTCAAAAGTAAGGCAGCAGACCCTCTCGCAGGAAATGCATGTATTTTGGTGCGCGAGAAGCTGTTTTAGCAATCGAAACATACTAAAGCCTGAGAGCCTGAGAGGTCCATCAGCACCCCCCTGGCAGTTCAGTTGGAGGTACAAGCCCCGGCGAAGGCAACAGGGCTTCTACCGCCGGCGGCCTGAACCTTTGGACGCCAACTGATCATGGATAGAAGGTCCGGTCATTGGTTTGCTAGGCAACACGTGACGATGCTGCGGATTGACGAAATTGTTTTGACACCTGAGGAGGAGACGGGATTTGGATTTGGTAGTTTGCACATTTTTGGCACATCTGGCAGTCAGAAGGGCTAGTGCAGGACTCGACAGATCCTCCTCCACCCAAGCCAGTCCGGCTATTGGACCTGTGGGCCAATAGGCCAGTAGACGCTCTTTTGTTGCTTGAAATGAGGGGGTCTTCGAGCCACAGGACCAGCGGTTGTTTCCGGCTTCTTGCCACCTTCCAGGTGGCTCGATCCTGCCGAAAAGGAAGGCATTGAAATGGTCCAAGGCATGGCGTAAGTCACCGGCCAACGTCGCCGATCCTTTTTGTTTTGTGTTATTTGGTTTTGTGGAGCTTGGGAGCCTGGGAAATGACAGGTGAAAAGGAAGGAGAGTTGATTCCCAAGACGGCCCTGATTTATGCGTGGCACACAGAGAGATACTGATGATGATGTTGCCAACAGTTTGCCTGCACAATCTCATTATATACTTTCTTTTTCCAGGATGGTTCCGAACATCAGCCTGGAAGCTATCATCGGTCACTTGGTTCTTGACGGAATATTCTTCGACATTTCTTCCCAACGCGCGAAGAAACCGTGGTGAGAATGCAACGCCGCTCACTTAGGCGGGGTTTGACCTCTTGCTATCGCTATTGGCCAGACCCAGTGACTTGGCGTTTGACCGTCGTGTTCACTGGTGATTCTTGCTGCTCGTGCTTTTGCTTTCTATGTTATTTTTTCACCAACGAAAACACTCGACTTGGATTACTCGGTCTAGCGGCTAGCGGTCTAGCAGAAGGAACATTCAGAAGGAAATCGTGCGTTGCGGCGCTGCATGAGAACCCATTTTGGGCGGTTGGCGTGGTGGGGGGAAACGAGAAAACGTCCGTGTGCTGGCAGGCGCGATGTTTGGAACTCTTTGGAAGCTTCTTGTTACTAGTAGTTTAATAGGAATGGCCTCCACCCTGATAGCGATGGCCTCCACCGTGCGTAGCTTCTAGCTACTGTGGTTTTATATTCGCAGACTGAGGCGGCTTCGCATTGGCGACTCTGAGTGAACCGAAAGCGCAGCGCTGCGAGGAAAGACCAAACAGAACGGAACAAGCGACCGACGGGGTTGCGGTGTTCCGCCGTGCGGCAACCGGAACGAGTCCGCCGAACGAACGGGGCGATGCAAACAGGCTACCCCTTGAACACTTCATTGCCTCTTTTTCATCCTTTTCTCTCGTTTTTCTGGCCCGTGATGTCATGTCCGCACTCCCGGGCTCATTTGTCCTGGCTCTTGAGAAAATCATAACTTAGAGAGACATGGAATCTTCATGAATCTAGAACAGCATTTTGGATGTAAAACTACCAGCATTTCTTCCATTGGGTTGGACATATTCTTCACCTCCGGAAAACATCAGCAGCACACAGTTCAGTCACCGTCACGACTGCGTTTGCATCGGCATTTTTTGTGCCCGGATCGTTCTCTTCTACGAAAACAGTCTAAGACAGCATTTGCTTCAAAGTGTGATACTTGATTTGCCTTGGTGTGTTTTCTAATGTGGCAAAAGCCGTTGTTCTTCCGACATGCCTGCAGAATACCGAGAAGGCACGCATGACTTTGCGTTTCTTTTTTTGGACATGTTGACATACTCTTCGCGCGTCAGCTATCGAGGCAATGCGCCTCCTGGTGAGCATCACTCAGACAAAGAATCTGACCCTTGGAGCTTTGGTATCAGACCTGAAGGCAGCAAAGCTCAGCTTAGCCTTCACTTCAGTGAGTCGCAAATTCTCTGTGACGGTGCGCTTTTGCGACGGAGGCCTCCAAGTCCTTCATTCCGGGGCATGGTCTCGTCCAAGACAAAGTGGCTTTGGATGTGTGACTTGGTGTCGAAATCGAGGAACCAGGTTTTCCGCGATTTCGATCATCGCTGTCGCACCAAGGGGTCAATGTCTTTTTGATGTCTTCAACCAGACCTTGCAACGAGGTCCGGCGGCAATGACACCCTGTGCATATCCATCAGGACTTGAGAGACTTGAGCATGCAATGCAAAATGATACCACCTAGGATCAATGCTTATTACTAGTAGCTAGAAGCTACTAGGTGGAGGCCATCGCAAGTAGGTTGGAGGCCATCGCCACTAGTAACAAGAAGCTACTAAATGACCGCTTTCTCTTTGCCTTTTGCATCAGACGCTTCGCCTTCGCCTCTGCTGGAAATGCTCAGAATGGCAGGAACACTCAGACGCAGGCTTACGTCTGCGAGCGGAAGATCCCTCTGTCTTTGCTCTCCACCGGGATACCTTGGTCATCGTGGGTGCGGCACTCAGAAATCGACCGGGAACTTCGTGGGTGGAAGCTCTGCGTTACGGAAGTCCATGCTCACCGGGAGGGGGGGGGGGGAAGAGGTCGGTGAAGCTGGGAGGAGGTCGGCTGAGTCACCACCGTGTGCTTCGGTCCGTTCGGTCCGTTCGGTCGGCTTCGGGCTTCGTGGCTTCGGATCGGGGCTTTGTGCAGGTGGAGCTGTTGCCGCCTGGAGATGCTTGTGCCACCCTCGATCAGGCAAGAAGCAGTGGCTTGACCTCTTTGTTGAAGCCTCAGGCCTAGTCACATGGTTCCACATGGTAATCATAAAGTATTTATCAGGGATTGGAATGGGGAATCCAAATCGACCAAGCACCACGTAGCCCACGTAGCCGGCGTAGCATACTACTTGGCAGGTGCAGCCAAGTCCTGACCAGCCTCAGATGCTTGGAAGACTTGGTGCTTTAGACCTTCAGACTTTGGGGTGGGGAGTCCGAACATCCGACGATCCCCAAGCTGAGCTGCGCCAGCACCTGGTCTGATCGAGCTAACCACTTCCGTTGAAGGACTGCCGCGCTGCCGCGCTGCCGGGCTGTCTCCAAATACCACCGGAACTGCGCAGCAGTGGAACTACTGGCTGTTCGATCCTGCCTTGTTCGTGCTATCCTGCGTTGCTTTTTGGACTCCTTTGAAGGACTCCACTTTTGCATTCTTTTGCGATAAGATCGATAAGGGCTCCGCTTCCATCAGTGGGGTCGCACCCTCACTGGGGCCGGCCCGTTGGGGGCCCGTTGGGCCCGTTGCCCGTTGGGTTCCCGTTGGGTTCCCGTTGGGTTCCCGTTGGGTTCCCGTTGGGCCCGTTGTGCCCGTTGGGCCCGTTGCCCGTCAGAACAAGAGTCGGAACATGGTGTGTCAATACATGTGGCCTCCTTTCCACATAGCCTCTGGCAGTAAGATAAGTCTTTTTCCCATTCGGTTAGCTTCAGACCTCACAGGTTCCAGGTTCAATCTCCCCCGCTTTGTGTTCCGGGCCCTGACGTTTAATGAGCAGGTGGCCCCTTCCAAAAGAGCAAAAAAAAGAAGATAGGAAAGAAAGCGGGCAAAAGGAGAACGCTTCTGACTAACTAACTAACTAACTAAGACAAACTAACTAACTAACTAAGTAGTTCTCACTACAACTAACTAACTAAGTAACTAACTAGCTAACTAACTAACTGTAACTGACTATAAAACTAACTAAGTAACTAAGTAACTAAGTAACTAACTAACTAACTAAGTAACTAGTTACCTAACTAACTATGACTAACTAACTAACTAAGTAAGTAACTAACTAACTAAGTAACTAATTCTCACTATAACTAGCTAACTAAGTAACGAACTAGCTAACTAACTAACTAACTAACTATAACTGACTATAAAACTAACTAAGTAAGTAACAAACAAACTAACTAAGTAACTAAATTGCTAACTAACTAACTAACTAACTAACTAACTAACTAACTATGACTAACTAACTGACTAACTAACTAACTAAATAGCTATCTAACTAACTATAACTCACTAACTAACTAACTAAGTAACTAACTAAATAAACAATTGTATTATAAGGTTTTTTTTTAAAATATCATGTGGAGACAACGCATGGCGGGCCCGTTGCCCGTTGGGGGCCCGTTGGGGGCCCGTTGGGGGCCCGTTGGGCCCGTTGCCCGTTGGGGGCCCGTTGGGGGCCCGTTGGGGGCCCGTTGGGGGCCCGTTGGGGGCCCGTTGGGCCCGTTGCCCGTCGGGCCCGTTGGGCCCGTCGGGCCCGTCAGGGGTTTGGCCCCAGTGGGGGTGCTTCCCCATCAGTGCAAGTTGTACTGCAAGAACAGTGTCGAAGGTATCCAACCAGAGATGAGGCCCATTCAGTCAGTATACCTGTAAGAGGTTTGGGGGATGATTCTTCTGTTTTTTGAACTGTGGGGTCTCTTGGACAATCCAATCCCGATGACTCTGGGGTCTGTGGCACTAGGGCTTTGACATGTCGAGATTCATGACATGCATTGACCTGCTCCTCTTGAGAGCTGCACCTCATTGTCCCCATCAGCAGGTAGTATTAAGAAGCCATGTGATTATAGCATATTCTAGCGATGATGGCAGTATTTGGTTCCAAGGCTTTTGAGTTCACAGGGAATTTTCATGTCAGAGATCCTGAAAAGGCTCGAACTCGCAGCGACCTGAAGACCCATCATGACCCATGAATTCCCACAAGACCATATTGACTCTACTGACTAGTATAGTCACGGACAGCCAGTAGGCAGAAAAAATCCTGCTTACCACAGCTGCTCGAGGCTGTTTTTTGGGGGTTTTTGAGCGGACCTATATGTAAGCCTAGATTTGGTCAGCCAGGCTCAAGAGGTAGTAAGCAGAAAATGTGTGTCTTTCAATCATGTTGGGTGCTACCTTGTGAAAGCCTTTATCGAGATATGTATATTTATATATATATACATACATACACATTCAAAGAAATGGGACAAGACTATGACGTCGGGATTAAATGATTTGAGGACACATTTTATTTTGTCTTTGATTCTAGCACCCGCCATCTCGGATCCTATACTACAAGCCCACCAGTGGGCACACTGCGCAGTTGCTCATGTAAACGGGACACGATATATGGGGACCGGGATTGAATGAAAACAGCCGTTGGACTCACGTCTGATACTTTGCAGTGTAGTAGGCATGAATGCTTGCTGCTTACTACTGCACCACGTGCTGGACGAGACGACAAATGCATTGATAAATTACAATTCCTTATCCTTTTCCTTTCTTCTCCTTTTATTTGCCAGTAGTAGGACAGGTAGTAGGACAGGACCCAAAGGACCTAGGAAACTTAGTAAGGAACAAGGATTAAGGAACATTAGTCAAAGCAAAGCAATAGCAAACATGAAGCAAACAAATATATACATCTTAAGTGAGGAGCTCTAGTAAGCAGAGGATTTGAGGTGAGGGGGTTTTAAAATTTACCGCCCGGTGAAATTATTTGCTTAATTTTTGGCTAGGTTCCGTTCCTGCCTACTAGTTGTCCTTGACTAAAACTTCAGTGCCAGAAGTGTGAAACGGTCGGTGGCAAGTCTGGTCTGTCCCCAAGAAAGCCTTCATTCACAGGAACTGGCATAAATAGACACAGCATGTCACATGCAAGACCAGGCAACGTTCGACGATTTCATTGGTGCTAAGGATTTTTGTGACGTTGGAGTACGGGTCCAGTGCAGACATTGGTTGGGAACCAAGTTCGCGAATGGGGGGCGCACGTCGTTCGGGTGTCTTCTTTGCTGATCCATGAGACCCCCAAAGGACATTTCTTTTGATTCCTACACGGACATCAAGACATTTGGTAGGTCGAATTCGAATGTTCAAGAATCCAGTGTAGCGTATTTTGAATGCTATATTAAGAGGTGTAAAGGAGCAATTCTTTGCGCTCTTGTGAGGCAAAAATGGCTTTGAGGACTCCTGACTCCTCGAATTCCGAAGCATTTCGTGTCCATTCCCGCAGGATTTGGAAGCTCTCCAGCATGCCTTCTCCAAGTTGGAACGGGAGCTTGAGCTGAACAAGCAACAGGCCCACCCGGTGAGTTTCACCGTTGCTCACACCGCGCTCCTCCGTCCACCAAAGCGCGCAGCGGTCCAGGCCAGGGAGCGAACGTCAGCGCTGGCTGCTCGCCCCTCGCTTTTGGACCAAGAGGCCACGGAGGATGACCCGGTGACCGACGTAAGGCCGTAAGGCGACGTGGAGGAGGACCATCGGTCGAAGATATGATGGTCTCAATCAGCAGCTTATCATTTATCTTGGAGGTAGATGTTCTATATTGTTCTGACAACATAGAATGCTTATAATATAGGTGCTTTCCCCGAAAAAAAGACTTGCAGAGTGGATGTGAATGCGGACCATTCTTCTGCTAATTCCTTGGCTAATATGTGAGAAAATCCATCGGACCGTCTTTGGCTTGATTGCTTTGCTGCTGTCTGTCTGTGTGACTTGTGGCCTATGTTGTCCTTTGTGCTTGCTGTGGCCTTCATGTTCGCATGATCATGCAAGACAATGCACGCAAGAAGGTTGGGGTCGAAGAGCCCGACATGAAAGTCGGTTTTGCAGGCAGCGGAGATACAGGCCAAAGAAAGAGAGATGGCTGCCATTCGAGCCAAAGGCCCAGTTAGACCTGCTCCAGGAGTCAGGGAGGGCTGAGATGAATTTCAACTAAGCTACTTGGCGGGGGGTATAATGGAGTACTACAGACTATAGGGGTCTCCCTAATATCTCCCTGACGGGGCCTCCGAACTCTACATCCAACTGGTACTGCCTCCTGTTGATTCGGATCCGAGGCAAAGATCTCAGCAATGAGCGATGCCAAAAGACAGGCTTGCAACGCATGGCCCGATCAGATCGGTAAACATCCGTCGATCTTTCCAGGCGAGTTCTGCAGAGGAACAGCTGAAAGAGGTCATGCAAGAGGCCTGTCTAGAAGGAAGTAAGAAACATGTTTAGTTTTTTCTCCAATCTTTGGAATCTTCCATTTCACCAGCTCAGGTAGCAAAAATGCGTGACCGTTGGACCCAAATTGAGACGGAAGTGAAGGACGTGAATGATAGAAAGCCGGCAGCTCAGAGCAAGTCGACCAGGTGCGAAGCTTGGACAGACATAAGCTGCCCTTGCCTGAGGCTGATTACAGAGACAGAGATCAGTAGGCTGCAGCGTTCCATGAGCGAGGCGAAGGCAACACGGATACTGTGCACTTGCTTTTTCGAGAAAACCACCAAGACAACGAAGAAGGGTCCCTGGGATTCGAGTCCCAAGACAGAAAAGACACCGTGCCAGACCCACTGCAAAAGCGTTGCCCAAGCTTGTATTTCCCCTTTCGTTGTCATGGTTTTTATCACTCCCCGTCCATGGTTCAACGTCTCGAAAGAACCGTTGCTCTCGGCTAGGAGACGCTTCGATTGAGAACCCTTTCGGTGGCGGAGCTGCGAAGCAATCATGACGAGGTGCGAAAAGGAAGTGGACACGGTGGGTGGGAGAGACCCACCGGGACCGGAGAGACCACTGGGACCAATGAAAACCGAAGAGAAAAGTGACGATCTCGACGACATGGTGTTCACCCGGTCGGGTGAAAGGGGCTCCAGGTTTGGCACAGCCAGATAGCCCCAAGTGAACTGGCCCGTAGCTGGCTACGAAATGCTACGAAACTCTTGCTTTGTGCTATGAGCCTGACGCAAATATATCGGCACACCACGATTTTGCTCGTTGTTCTCCTGTGCAGACGGAGCGCCAGCTTTCACAGACTCTTCGAGAGCGTGAACAGTGGAGGGAGAGCCAGGAGCTGAAGAAAAGCTTTTGAACACTCAGAAGAAGACGGTCTAGCCGGTCTTTCATCATCAGTTCGAAAGCACATTTGTTCGTCTTGCTTGTCTTGCTTTTTCTTTACTTCTTGATACTTCTTTCACACTTTTTCTTGGTTCGTACCTTTTCTCTGCCTCGCAGCTGTGAGGTGCGAGCAAAGCCCAGAATGACTTTGACTCCGAAGTGAAGTCGGCTTCTGTGGAGTTGGACCACTGGCGCTCAGAGGCCGACCAAAAACCGCACGAGGTCCCGTCTCTCGTCTCCATCGTCTCCCATTTGCAGGCACAGGAGCTGGCGACTTCCATTGAGGAGCTGGATGAACAGAAGCAGGAGTGGGGAAGTGCCCAAACTGTGGTACAAGCTTGAGTTCCAATTTTGGAGGGGATGAAGAGGGGGTTCGGGGATTCGGATCCTTCTTGGTGTTTTGACCCATCCCCCAAAAGTGCACAGATAGGAGACACACCATGTAAGGGCTTTACAGAGAAACTGAAGCAGAGCAGACCTGTTGATTCGACTTCAGAACCATCACCAAGGCCAAGCACAGTCTCTAGGAAAGGAACCTTTTGAAGCTGCCCACGTCTTTGTGTATTGCGCCATGTTCCATTCTGCTCATTGCTGCGGACACTCTCGTTTCTTTCAATGAAAGCGGTCTAGCTGTGCTTTTGGAAGCGAGAAGCACAGCTGGCCTTGCTGACCGAGCTGCCTGGCAACTATAATATATAGTCAAATGTGCCAGGCCCTTGCTCAGAAAGCTTCGCAAGAGCAGGCTGTCAGAGCATACTTGACTTATTGTTTCTGCACATACAGATTTAGCGGTGTTCTTCTTGTCAATCATCAATTTATCAAAATCCCGTTTCCGAAATCTTTTCAGGGAGTACAGAATGACTTTATGGATGCCTTGCAGAAAGAGCTAGAAGAGGTGAGGGCTGTGAGGGCTGGGCTTTCCAGCCAGATTTTCCTTGAAAAGACGTTGGCGTCTTTTCCCAAATCAAGACCACTTGCCAGGCAATGTCTTCCTTTACCTCCATTGAGGCTTGGAAATCAGATTTCCGCCTTGAACAGGCTACTCTTTGATGCCTGGAACGTCTCTGGCAAATAACCAACAAGTTTGAGTTCTCGCGTGCGCCTGACATCACCTGACAGACTCATGTTGAAACGTGCGAAGCAGGATTTCAGCTCTTTCTTGGCCAAAAGCCACAGATCCTGGAAACTGGAAACCCTTCCAGATGATGTCCTCTGTGCTTCGGACCCCCCTCTCGTCCGACACCCAGACCATTCACCTCTCAGGCACAGCGGAGCGCCGACGGGCAACACCTGGCGGCCGCGGAGGAGCGCCAGAGGGATGCACAGGAGCGCTGCTTGGACCGAAGGAAGGACGAGGGGGTTTGGGGGAAGGACGCCTGCGCCCTTCGGTGGTGGTGAAGCTCGCTGGAGCTTCAGAAAATCCCAAGAGCGAGGTTTGGAGGATTCCTTCTCCAAAAAAGGTGAGAGAGTCAATTTTTTTTCATTTTTTCATGTGCTTGGTCAGTTTATTATACTTGACAATACTGTATATAATACATATATATGTATAGATCAGAGTAGGTGGATCATGGAAGGGTTCTGTTTACAGCATGTTCAGCAGATCAACCGATCATAGCAGATGGTAGTATATACTGTACAGTAGATTCGATCAAGTTCATCCAGCTTCCAACTTGACTAAGCTTAATTTTGTTCCTTGGCTCTGAGTACAAAGAGGTTGAAGGAAGAGGTATTCCTTTTTGGACAATCGCTTTTTGTACATCTCTCCTTTCAAAGAACTCGTATTCTTCAGATACCTTCATACAGGCTTGCTCTTTTGGATTCCTCCTTCCTCTTTTCCACCAGATGAATCCCGGGTGAGGAAGACGATTTAAATCGTAAACATAGCTCAACTCGTTGTAGAATCGATCGGAATCCCAAGAGATGCGAAACAAAAGAGAGCTCAACCCGGGTTCTTCGAACCGAAGAGTCTCCTCAGGTCTGCAGCAAGCGGAGCAACAAGCCTTCGAGCTGCGTTCCGAGCTCCGAGAGGCGGGGCGGTTGGGAGACGCCGTGCCGCGCCGAGCGCCGAGTGGCGCGGCCTCGGATTCGAATTGACATTCACATGATTTGCATTTCAACATGTTGTTCGCGATACGACCGGTGCCGTTCTGAATATGACAGATGTTGGTCTCGAAGTACCAAACAGCGACTCGTGGTAGGGACCATCTGTAGTCCAGTTCTTTGTTCTCTTCATACAGTAATTGGGTAATCCAATCACAACCTGTAGTGAAACTGCATTTGCCCAGCAAAAAGTGCAACTTTTGACCCTCGCCCATTTGCAACCTCCATATAGGCTTGCAAGAAGCTGTTTTCGGGGTCCTGGCATCCCACCTCCAAGTTCGATGCCGGGAACTGCACCCAGTTCGGTGCGTCCAATTCACCGCGCGCGCACGGCAGCGCGGCCGTTTCTCCTTTTTGGTCGCCAGGAAGGTGCAAGAGCGAAGAGTGCCACCGAAGTAGCGACGCTCAGGGGACCAGAGGCACCTTTCAGGAGCTATCAGGACCCTCAAAGCTCAAAAAACAGCGAAGCGGCTTTTGGGCCGATTGGAAGACCGTCTAGCTGTCTAGCTTGAACCAACAAACGTTTCTGTTTTAAGCGGTGCGGCGAAATAAAGCAGTCGAAGATCGGTCGTTGATGACGTCTGATGCGAAGGTCGTTTTTCAGACGAAGCGATCAGCTGAGGCTGTGAAGAAAGATCTAGCTGACAAGGTGTCCAGAGTGGCCCAGTTGGAGGTGCAGGGTTGGGTGACCCTGACCCCGAATTGCACTCACTGATCAATTGTCAGGGCTCCTTGAGCGAGAACCGCAACCAGCTCAAAACCATTCAGCAGCATGTTGATGGTCTAATGCAGGTTGGCACCTCAGACTGGCCTTCTTCATGCCAAAAGCCTTTGGAAACATCGGAAGAACACAACGGCGCTTTTCTGTGCGAATCTGTGCGCCATAGCGTCAAACATCGTAAAACACATCGCTAGTAGGTTGGAGGCCATCGCCAGTAGGTTGAAGGCCATCGTTAGTATAGGTATGTATAGGTTGAATGCCATCGCTAGTAGGTTGGAAGCCATCGCTAGTAGGTTGGAGGCCATCGCTAGTAGGCTGGAGGCCATCGCTAGTGGAGGCCATCGCTAGTAGCCATCGCTAGTAGGTTGAGGCCATCTCTAGTAAGTTGGAGGCCATCGCTATTCGGTTGGAGGCCATCGCCAGTATAGGTTGAAGGCCATCGCTAGTATAGGTTGGAGGCCATCGCTAGTGGAGGCCATCGCTATAGGTTGGACGCCATTGCTGGTAGGTTGGAGGCCATGGCTAGTAGGTTGGAGGCCATCGCTAGTAGGTTGAGGCCATCTCTAGTAGGTTGGAGGCCATCGCTACGGTTGGAGGCCATCGCTAGTATAGGTTGAAGGCCATCGCTAGTATAGGTTGGAGGCCATCGCTAGTGGAGGCCATCGCTATTAGGTTGGAGGCCATGGCTAGTAGGTTGGAGGCCATGGCTAGTAGGTTGGAGGCCATCGCTAGCAGGCTGGAGGCCATCGCTAGTACGTTGAAGGCCATCGTTAGTAGGTTGGAGGCCATCGCTAGTAGGTTGGAGGCCATCGCTAGGAGGTTGGAGGCCATCGCTAGTCGGCTGGAGGCCATCGCTAGTGGAGGCCATCGCTGGTAGGATGGAGGCCATCGCTAGTAGGTTGGAGGCCATCGCTAGTAGGTTGAAGGCCATCGCTAGTAGGTTGGAGGCCATCGCTAGTAGGGTAGGTTGGAGGCCATCGCTAGTAGGTTGGAAGCCATCGCTAGTAGGTTGGAGGCCATCGCTAGTAGGCTGGAGGCCATCGCTAGTGGAGGCCATCGCTAGTAGCCGTCGCTAGTAGGTTGGAGGCCATCGCTAAGTAGGTTGGAGGCCATCGCTAGTAGGTTGAGGCCATTGCTAGTAGATCGAAGGCCATCGCTAGTCGCTAGTAGGTTGAAGGCCATCGCCAGTAGGTTGAAGGCCATCGCCAGTAGGTTGGAGGCAATCGCTAGTAGGTTGAGGCCATTGCTAGTATAGGTTGAAGGCCATCGCTAGTCGCTAGTAGGTTGAAGGCCATCGCTAGTAGGTTGAAGGCCATCGCCAGTAGGTTGGAGGCCATCGCTAGTAGGTTGAGGCCACTGCTAGTATAGGTTGAAGGCCATCGCTAGTCGCTAGTAGGTTGAAGGCCATCGCCAGTAGGCTGGAGGCCATCGCTAGTAGGTTGAGGCCACTGCTAGTATAGGTTGAAGGCCATCGCTAGTCGCTAGTAGGTTGAAGGCCATCGCCAGTAGGCTGGAGGCCATCGCCAGTAGGTTGAGGCCACTGCTAGTATAGGTTGAAGGCCATCGCTAGTCGCTAGTAGGTTGAAGGCCATCGCCAGTAGGCTGGAGGCCATCGCCAGTAGGTTGAGGCCACTGCTATAGTATAGGTTGAAGGCCATCGCTAGTCGCTAGTAGGTTGAAGGCCATCGCCAGTAGGCTGGAGGCCATCGCCAGTAGGTCGCCCCTTCTCGCCCAGTTTTGGGGTCACCTCAGGATCTCATGGAGCGAACCATCAAAAGTTCCGACGACGAGGCAATGCTCGGAACCTTGGCGCGGCAGTTGCAACAAGAACAGCAGGCGTGGCCGACGGAGAGGTTGGTCAGACAAAAACCTGCCATGACCATTATTTGAGGTTTTCAGACGGTCCTAGGGAACTGGTCTTGTCAGGATTTGGAGCAAATCGAGCTGGAAAAGGAGTGAGAAAAGCTACCCATGTCTGGTCTGATTGTTTGCGACATGATTCGGATGTCGGCTGAGCCCGTTTTGTTCTGACTCACCACAAGACGCAGACTGCTAGGAGAAGCTGGAGAAAGCCGTGAGTCAGGTCTTGAAACACAGTGAAGTCCAAAGCTCAAGTACCTGCTACAAGAGATTTTTGTTGGATTTTGCCAGAACCTGGGGTCACATTTCGGTGAAGCAAACCATGTCAATGTTTTCCTCGGTGCTCATGCTTGTGTAGGTTTCCTAGCAAAACGTCTTAAGCAATGCCAGACCCTGGGAGTTTTGCTCGAGGAGTCTCGCTACCAGAAACAATCTTTGCAAGATGGATACCGGGAGGTCTCCTGGCGCAATGTGTGGAGAACGGGGCCAGAGCAACGACCGTCAAAAACGGTGGAGTCTGTGAAAGCAACAGGTTGGTCCAATCTTTCAAACCCCTTGTTGGGCTGTTGAGCAATTGAAGCGTCAGCTAGAAAACTCACTGAATCGCAACTGCTGCTGGTGTTTAGAGCGCAGACCAAGAGAGTTTAAGACCTGTGACTTGGAGACATCAGGAGCAAGGCCAACTGGCCCAACGATCTGATATGCTATCAAATACTCAAACTATGGCTGCAAGCTCAGACTCATGCACCTCTCGTTCTGTCAGCATCTTATAATGTAATATAATATAATATAGTATAATATATAATATACACATACACATAGAGAGATCTAGCATTATATAGCCATCAAGAGATAGCCGCGCCCTTCTATGCTTCTCACAAGGCCTTTACAGAATTGGAGAGGACTTCAGCTCAGATAGCGCAGCTGAAGGAGGTGGAGACATCATTTGCTCTTGTGGGCCAGGTAGCTCTTGAAATTGACCATGCTTCGCTACCTCGCCTCTAGCTTGACATGTTTGGTGCAGGGTTTTGACTCAAGTCCAGATCATGTGACTGGACTCGGGACAAGCCTAGCATGTGCAGATCACATGCCATGCTGCTTGGGATTGCGTGTCTCATAACCATCGTGCATTCTGCCAAACCTGTTTCTCATGGACAGATCAAAGTATCCTACAACGGACAACTTTCTTCATCTGGATCTCCGGGTGCTTTGCTTCGCAAGGAGGATGTGCAAGATGATCGGGATGTGAAAGACGATGACCTCGATCAGGAGGATGTGCAAGACGATCCAGACGTGAAAGACGATAACCTCGACCCAGAGACTGAAGAAGACTCCAAGCCGGTAGAGATTCAAGATCAAGTGGAGGACACCATCGCCGCTGCTCAGAGCTATGACTTCGACAAGTTGAAGAATGACTCCAAACGACATGTCCATTACACCGCAGCAACTTCACCAGCTCGAGAATCAGAATCAAGTCCTTTGAAGTTAATCTGGAACTTTGAGGGTACTGGTCCACCGGTGCCTGACCCGGCTGAAGCGAACATCGTGAAGGAGCAGCATGCGAAGACTTTGGGTCCAACAGCTGTTGTGCAAGGAATGCAGTCCACTGCCTTGCCACATCCTGGTTGCTTCCAACCACGACATGCCACCGACATTGACCAAGCAGAGAGGTGCCCAGATGCCTGTCCACTCTTTGCCGAAGATACGGCTTCGCCGCAGCATTGCAACTTCAAGTGTGTGAATACATCCGATTGTGGCCTGGAACACACCCACACGAACTTGGCCCAATCAGTGCCTGATGAAACCAGGGGATTCTGCCGACGCTGTGTGGTCGTGGCTTGCTCCCGGTGCAACCGGGCCGCTCATGGCGATGTTTGCGCCGAGTGCCAGCGTGGATTCAGGTTGGAGAATGGCGAGTGTGTCTCTCAAATACCTATCTTGGGATCACTCTTGAAGGGCTCGCTCTACTTGATCCTTCTTGTTCCTGTTCTCTACTTTGTCGCCTGGTATGTGAGCTTGGTGTTGCGAAAGGCAACCAATTTGGAGGAGCAAGCCCAGGCTTTGCAATTTCGAACTCAAACCAAGCTTTGCAAGCCAGACTCTGGCGATGAGCGGGGTACCGAGCGTCAACTATGGCCTTTGAGGACAAATACGCTGGCTGCATCTCGCTTCGAGACTTTTGGTCCATGGGGGTCGGCTGTGAGCCAAGAACGAAAGAGCCTTCAAGACCATTCTAGACTATCTAGACCATGATTTTGGGGGCTTTGGCCCACTGTCTTTCTTGTTTGTCGTGTGTCATGTTGTAGCTATTCCCTCGTGCCAAGACACATCAAGACGCACCTCAGCCAATGAGGTACCTGTGGCTGGTCCAGGCTCCGTGCTCTTCTTCCGCTATCAGCTCTTCATTATGATTTGGGCACTCGTTCTGGCCACACTTTGGGTGCCTGGGTGACACATCATGTCCTCACACCGTTGGGGTCGGGGTCGTGCCTACCAACAGTGAACACAACCGTCGGACATCGTCTCCGTCACAAGGGACTGCCCAGAGGTATACGGGAAGCTTGCCATTACTGTACAGTTGGCGGGCTCTGTGTTGAATATGTATATATATAACTATATATATAATTGTTAAGTATATCAGTACATACATAATATATATATATATGACGGTATTTGTACACAAATAGATATCAACATAGAATAGTCAGAATCGACTCCGTTTCTGCAGGTTGCTTCCGTTTCGATGACAGATGGAAGTCTCTATGCCCTTGGAACGGAAGATCCTGAGTCGCCCCGGGAACTTTGTGCAGTTATCCACAGAGGCTTTGAGCAACAGCGAACGATGATGTCCACGAAGGTGTACTTCTTGCTAGTCGCCTACATTGCATCACTTGTCCTGTGCATCAGCTTCGGCATCTTCCAGCAGAGGACCTTTCATCGTACGAAGCTTACACGGTCGTTTGTTGCATCTGTGTGTGGGGCTTGGACCGGTTTGCTTTAAGGGGGGATGCTCCAAGGATTGAACAATGATGCAACGCAAGCGGATTTTGTCGCTTTGGTGGATGGCTTGCCTGCCGTTCATGGTACGGAAAACTTGGAAGAGATCCTCAAAACGGAGCTTCAGACTGGTACCTCCCAAGAAACTTGCTTCAAATCGTTTTGCAGAACTTGTACAACATGCAACTAGACTTGTCATGCAACCCATCGCGTCCCACTGTTTTCTCCCCGCCCATCACCTCCACTGCGCACGACTTTGTTTTCAGCTGTTTTCACGTAGGAGACCTTCAGAAAATAGGTGTTTACTGAGACAGGCTCGACCTCGGATGCTGTGTTGAAGCTTGCATTTCTAGGCAACCCTTTCAGCTGAACCTGCGTGAAAGAGCTTAGGAGATTGTGGGCGTTTCGGTTGGATGGGATTTCGCCCCGCATGCTGAGAAGATCACCGAACTCCTGGAATCTGATGTTCGGGCACTCGACAAGCTCCCGGGCTCGCCCGAGACCGCCGACCCCGCGGCCACTTCGGCCACTTCGGCCAGGGCACCGGTGGAGGGAGCGTCGCGGCCCAGGTGGTTTCGCCCGATGGACCGATTAATGTTGACGCAGGTTTTGGGGATTGAACTGACTACACCTGCACCGGCAACGGCAGAGGCGACTTCGGGAGAAACCCTGGCAAAGAGCTTGGTGTGCTCACCAAAGGCCTTGGTGGTTTTCAAGACAGAAAGTGGCAGGGATGCTGCCTTGGCTGCAAAGAAAGACATCTCCTTCAGGGGAAATACATTGCAGATCAAGCCTCTCACTTCGGAGCCGATGGGGATTTGCTGGGAGAATTTCGCGGTGGTCCGCCAGAAGCAAAGGGAGAGGCTTTGGGCAGCCATCAAAATGATCCTGTTGGCCAGCTTTGCTTGGTCACTTTTCATCTATTTGCCATTTGCGCAATATGCCTCATCATTCTCCTACTCCAACGGCGACAAGCCATCGATAGGGATGACCATCTCTCTGACTCTCATTGTGGTTCTTGGCAACCTCTTCATGTACACGACCTGTGCAGAAGCCGCGAAACGAATTGGTTTCATAAATCGTGATGCAGAGGGCGGAGCCTACATGGTGTGAGCCCTACTGGTATCACAAACAACTATTGAACCGATTTAATTTCACCATTTGCTGATGTCCTCGCGGCTCAAACAGCTTGCCCTGCCAGCTTGGCTGAGCCTCCGTTTCTCAGGTGCTCTATACCTTCGCGATCTTGCTCAACATCATGATGGATGCTGCCCTCACCGGAAGCATCGCCTATCGCACGGCGGCGACTCGGACAGCGGAACCAACGGAGCGGTGGGTGTTTCCCTACTTCTCCGTGAAACGCGGTGCGAAGAACGGACCTGCTTAGGTGGGCCAACGAGCACGGACCTATGGTGGAACTCTCATTGCGGACTTGACGCGAGCTCAAGCGATCTTTGAGAGCTTTGAACTCCAGTGCCTTAATGAAACAATCAGGCAGACCATGAGTCGCAAAGAAGAAAGAACATCGTAGAACTGAGCAGATCAAGATCCTGAGTGCGTAGAATCTGAGAATTCCTTCCGCTTGACATCGGCGTTGAAAACCTTCCTGAGGCGTCAACTGGGTCTAGCGGTCTTTAAGTACTGCTGGCCGGCCATGTACCTGGTGCCCTTCATAGGACCGAGGTCTTTGTCCAAAGTATACTGAACAACATACACTGCATACGCAATCGATTTCTGTGTAGCTTGATTGCAATCTGTATATAAAATTATATAAAAACGTACCTGGACTAAGTTTTGGACATGGAGTCCGGACATCCAACTTGACAGTCTAGTTCTTAGCTTCTCTGCAGCTTTGAGGAGAAGCTGTTGGTGCTAACTGGTTTACACTTCACTTGGCACGCTTGGTTGTTGCCAGCTTTCCACACATCAAGGGATTCAAGGCGCAGCAGGCGCGGGTTCGCGGCGCGTTCCCGGTTCCCGGCGTTTTGAAAGGCGCACCACTGGGCGTTGGTGCAAGAAGAGGGCAAGAACTGTAGCTAAGTATTTGCATTGTTTCATACTTGGCGTCATTGCTTGAAGCTTTATCTTGGTTTCAGATGGTTCAGACCAGTTGAGTCAGACTTTGCCCTTAGTTTTCGACTCTTGGAAGGCTATGAAGGTATTGGTGCCAATGGATCCAGGGCGTTATGCAGATGTTCTCATCAATATAACCGCAGGGGTCCTGATCTTCTTCTTACCTGGTGGCTACACCTTGCCCCTCCTAGTGGCGCTCATTCTGTCGCACGTGTCACCTGTATGCCAGCTGAGAGTGTAAATGTATATACAGACTGGAGGAAGCATTAAAGTTGCTTAGTCATGTCTCCGTAGATTGTAGATTGCACCAGTGCATTCGAAGGTTTATTATCCTCTTCGACCACTTTCGTGTATTGCGATGTGTCCCGTCCTTCTGTTTTTCCAGCAGCTTGTCAAAAAAAATCATGCTCAAAACCTGAGCCGGGCCAAGTCAGACACAAGCTTTTAGCACCAATGAAAGGCATGAGCGGCATGCGGTAGATTCTTCCTTTCCTTTGTAACCTCAGGTTCGGTCGTGGATGACTATGCACAAAAACTGTTGATCCTTCCTTGCGCTTTGATCATGGCCGCCCCTGGGTTGGCAAGTCGGGCTGACACATGCGCTTCTTCTCATGGGTTCGTCGAGACTGAGTCATCATGAATTCATGGGACCTCGGGAGTGTGCCTTCACTTTGTTTTGTTTCTTTCTTTTTCAGAAGTGTCACTTCTAGACAGCCGTGTCGCCGCGCGCCTGTCGCCGTGTCGAGGCTTTCATCCTCAAGTCCAACTGCACTCTGACGTCCACCTTCTGCGTCCAGGAGACTGCCGGTGCGGTACCCGACATCGATGAGCCCATCCCCTTCCAATGGATGGGCCGTTTCACACGGACCAATGGAAGTGGATCAAAACGACGTCACCTGCTCCCCAAAGCTCCCTTTTCCAGCCAGGGTTCTTCGGAGTCCAGTTCTGCGCGTCAGACCCGTTTTCGACTCCGGCGGAGTCCACCCCGCCCTCACTTGGGACTGTCTGAAGTGTGGCCAACGTGCTTAACAGTGCTCATATACTAGTAGGTCTAGACGTTGCCAACAACAAGCTTTGCGGAGTTCCAGGATTCTTCTTTGGGCTTATCTATGTTGATGGGAGGTGCTCTGCACGTTGGCTTGCATTGGTGGCTTGTCATTTTCAAGAAGGATGGCCTAATCCAGACTGTTGCAAAACGAAAGGAATAGAGAGGCGAAACGCTGAAAGAGGCCTCAAAACGCGCCAACCAACGCGGGCAGTCCAACGTGCAAAACGGACTCCTTAGGGCTTACTGTGGGAAGGTGCCAAGCTACTGTTACTTTTGGTGGTAGTGATTCTATTCAGACCCCTCGATTGTTTGCTAGGGGGGACGGTTTATACTATTTAAGATCCAACATTATGACAGAAGCTTGCTTGCAAGAAGACCAAAATCAGATTTATGACCAAGAATGACCAGCGTTTAATGTACACTCTGACGAAGACATCACATGGAAGTGGAACCATTCAGATTTCATGGTAGTCAAGGGGCCACGCCATCCAGGGAGTGTGTTTGAAGAATCATGTGACAAAGCTGCCAGTTCGAAGCAACCAGAAATGCTTTTCCAGCTGAGGTGGGCGCTCCAGAAGCTTGGCATTGAGAGCGCTGCTTCGATCGTTCCACTTAGTGACTTCTGACTTGAATCCTGCGGAGCTAAGGGTGATTGTTCCGAAATTTGGCAATGTGAAAGAGCATGTGCCCACCAAGTTTACCTATGAACAGGCCGGTTTTTGTAAAGATTAGTGCCATTGGCACATTGGCATTCTTCGATGCAATGCTTTGCAGGTTGCCTCACTTGCTGCACCATCTTGGTTTAACCTGAACCCAGCGTACTGCCTGCGGTCAAAGTACTTCTACAAGCACGAGACACCCTGCTACTACCTGGTCCAGGGACGAGAGCATGTCCTTCGGAAGAACGTCATGACCCTAGCTGCAGCAACCTTCTGCATGTGCAGTCCATCCATATAGAAGGACCGGATTTCTGGGTTGTGCCTTCAACATCCTTTAACAGCACGCTTGTTGGTGCTTCAGCAGATGTTGCAGCACAGAATGCCTCTGAAGCTCTCACTAAGGATAAAGCAATGTCCTTCTTTGAAGATCAGCGGAGGGTGGTCAAGGAAACTTATGGCCGCTTCCAGCTCGGATGATGACTTCATCGGCTGTGAACAAGCTGTGCGAAGAAACACCTGTGCGCAAGGGCACGCTAATGAATCACGTCACGAACGATTCTCACACTTGGGAAGGTATGGCGTTAGATTCTGCCTTGGCCAGTGGATGTGGGGCATGCTGCATGGAATGTGTCGAGCATCTAGCACATGTCGAGCATGTCAACAGCTCGAGTGGGACACACCGTTCGCTCTGGTGGGACCGAGTGGGACCTGACAGGCCAAGCTCCAGCTCGATTCTGAATTGGTGCCTCCTGCGAAATCGTGGCTTCCTTTTTCCACGGAAATGGGTCCTCCTCCACTTCTGCATGGCAGGCACAAGTGGATGCCGCAGCTGGCGACGTTGAAGGCCAAGCTGGTGAGTTCCATTGACAAAGGGAGACAAGTTGCGCGATTTTTTCAACCAGTTTTTCAAATGCCTCCAGGTGTTTTTCAAAAACACTGTAAGTTTTCAAAAACCCAACCTCTACTGCCCCTACGGGACACACTTTCGAGGGTGCTAGGACACCCGACCTCTAACCAGCGCACGGTGACCTCGAGGTTGTCGTCAAGAGGCAAGGCAGAGGATCGAAGAGATGCAGAAAGCCTTGGAGGCGATGGCCAGGGCGTGCGTCCGTTCGAAAGCTTTTTCCCGTTTGCTTCAACTTGAAATGAACCATCACAGACTTATCAGGACATACCCATACATATCCAAGATCAGGTGCTGACAGGACTTGTTCAGTGTACAGAATGCTGCAAGTACATTCGGTCCGTCATTGCAATGAATACTGCGATCCGCCTGCTTCGTGCATGCACGCCTTCTTCGATCACTGCGACGTCATGTGATGACAATCACTACGCACACCTCTTTGCCTGCAAGGCTGTCAATGCAAAGAAGTTGGTGCAAGCAGAGGTTGGTCTTTCACCTTTCAAAGCCAAGAAGTGCCCTTTTCCTCTGGTCACTCAGAGTCTCAGGTAGTCACTTCTCGACTCCACCGGGTGACGGCCATGGAGCAGGACTGACGGCCAGAGCTGAGCGTCCTGGGAGGACGGACGCCCAGTCGCTGTGCACGTGTTGCCTTGAAGGAGCTCATCACAGCGAAGCAGGAGCTGCAAAGCCTGGAGCTTGGAGCTGCAAAGCCTGGAATAGCGGCACGTGACCAGCCCTTTTGGGTATCGACGTTGGTTCAGTAAATAAGCCCAAGAAAAGTCTCCAACAGGGCATGAACTTGCTGATTACTGTAAGCATTGACAACATTTGGCGTGTGTCAACGTTTGCACGGTGATCAAACGGTCAAGCGGTGTGTGCTTGTTAGATACAGCCGCTTGTATGCACTATGTGAACCTTATCTTATTTTGCCATGCGAGCATATCAACATGTGCAATCATGACAACACCGCAACAAGCAAAAACCAGCTAACCTCTTCCAGTTCCGGCTTTGGAGCACGCCAGCAAGTGAGAGTGACGGCATGACCGGATTTCCGCATCTCAGCGTGACAACATGCTACTGTAGCAGTTAGCATGTTAGTTTGGCCCATGCCAGCGTGAGAATATGTCAGCATGACAGCCTGACAAATTGGCGGTGTGACACCACGCCAGCATATCAGTGTAACAATATGATTCATGTCAGCGTGCACACACGTTTGCATGACAGCCGGCCATATACAATACATAAATACACACCACACCAACATGATACATCGGGCGTGGTAACACCTTAGCGTGCCAGAAGGATACGATGTTAGCAGGTTAGTGCAACCGGCACAGTAGCCTGACCACATTATCACGCTGCTAGGGGCTCCTGGCATCGCTACTAGGAGCAAGGACGCTGTGAGACCCTGCTCCCAAGCTCTGGACTCTGGGACTTGGCCTAGAACCTGTTTCACGGCCTGCCGGAACAGCTCCGGAACCTGCTCCAGAACTTGCTCCGGGACCTTTAGCAAAAGTCTTTACTTTCGTAGCGTCCTTGTTACTACGAGCGATGGCCTCCAACCTAGTAGCTTCTTGTTACTAGGCGGCTTCGTCCTGCGGCCAAACGACTGTTACCAGAAGCTAGCTACTAGTAGTACTGGGAGCTACTAGTAGCTTCTTGCTAGTAGCGATGCCCTTTGTTACTAGTAGCGATGCCCATAAGGGGTGAAGGTTCGGTCGCGACTCACCGGGCGATTCCAAAGAGGCATGGCTGTTGCTTTCCGAGCGAGGCGCTATGGCTGCTGCGAGCCAGCTGCGAATTTCAGCCGCAAGGCAAGGAAGATGGTCGCCTGTAATGGAAGGTCCTGGTGAATTTGTGATTCCATACAGTTTAGAACTTGGTGTGGTCACTCGATTGTGTGGTCACTTGCTTTGTTGCGGTTTGCCTCACATCTGCAGGAACACGGCGGAAAATGCGACCAAGGCAAGAACGCAAGAACAGCATATTGGCACGGCAGACGTTGCCACAGCAGATTCCAAAGCTTGGAGAGTTTGTCTTCCAAAATCAAGTGCCGCACACGGCGGATCAATATTCTGGCGCCAGGAAGAAGCTTTACTGCAACGCTTCGTGCAATTAAAGTCTGAGCTGGAAGAACACCAAGAATTGTGAAGTCCTCAGATGGCCACTCTCAGGTGATACGTACTGTGGTGTTTTGCCAAACTTTGGCTTCTGTCTCGAAACGGGTCATGCGCATCCAACTCTTTAAGGTCCAAACAACAAGAAGACAAGCAGAAAGTCACTTCCTCAATCTTCCGCAAGGGTTCTATGGTGTATGGTGAGTGCCAATTGAGTGGCTGCAACCAGTGACTATGGCCTCTGGCCGACCAGTCACAGATGGTCACAGTTGTTCAGGTTCTGTTGGACAAACTCAATGAGACCCACCAACAAAGACCAAAGACACGCGTGCGCCGACCGCCAGTTCTGCCGAGCTGATTTCATGTGGATTGAACTTGAAAGAGGTACAAGCTGAGCATGCGAAAGCAAAGCGTTCAGAGCTGCAGAAGATCCCACCTTACCCAATTTTTATGATCAGAGATTGACAAGGTAACCAGACATTCAAGCCGTTGCAAATTGAGGATTGCAGCAAGCCTGAAAGCATCCTTGGATGCGGCCAAAGAAGCAGCTGCTGCAGAGGTGCTGAACATTCATCAGATCTACATTCTACAACCACTCTCGGGATTCTGTCGCTGTTCGTTTCCTTCAGGCCATGAAAGCAAACCAAATGGAACAGGATTTGGAGATGCAGCGGAAGGCAGCTTGCGACCGCTTTCGACCTCCCGCGGCGGACGCCTTTTTCGCGAAAGCCCGAAACGAGCCCAAGACGTCGTGGGAACACCGGTGAAATGGCCGTCACGCGGTGCCGAAAAGGACCGTAGAAGTGCTGGAAAAAAGACAGAACAATCGCCGGTTGATGGTCGATGCCGGACTATATAAATCAATCAATGTGTATTATATACACATATACGATAGAGGTTCTTCAATCATGTTCAATCCACATGGTAGTTTTTCTTTACGTGGACTTCTCGGACCACCACCATCTTTTCGGGCGAGCCGCAACGGAATAGAGCCGCGCTCTTCTGATGAGGGGTTTTCTTCATCAATGAATCCAGAGTCTACATGACCCTCAGGGGGGTTCCGCCAGGAGCTTGAGCACTTGGCAGAAGAGGCTGCGCGACAGGACTCACGACCGGGAGAGTTCGTTCGGGGATCCGACGTCGGATTGGATGACGGCGCCGTGACAGTCAGGTCCCCCAAAATCCCTTGGCCTGTAGACTTTTGGCCGCTGGGGAAGCTTCCAATGTCTTCTTTGCAAGCAGGTGCTTGTACTGATTGTTCAATAGTGTTCATCCTTGTTTGCAACACAACTGGGACTGGGAGTTTCGGCCCTTGGTTTTCAGGAGGCAGTCTCTGCTGCCATGAAGACCGCCTTGAGTGAACAGAGGGCTATGCATCAGAGCTGTGTGGAGGCGAAGAACGGAGACTGACTTCTCAAGGGTTGGGAAGGGCAAGACGGCTTTTAGATGGTTCTTAGTCGATTTTTGAGAAGGATCGGTCTTCCCATTTCAATACCTGTGCTGGTTTAGCGTAGTTGCCGGGGTTACGGGGTTAATCCGAGGCATCTGCGCGGTAAACACGGTAAAACTCGAATTTTTCTTTTTTTACCGTTTTTACTGGGGGGGTGCCCCTTTTCGTCTACCATATCCGCGGTAAAAACGGTAAAACGCAAACAGTTTATGTCTTTACGTTCTTACCGGGGCGCGCTCCTTTTTCTTCTACCATATCCGCGGTAAAAGCGGTAAACATTGTTTTCTCTTTTTTTTTAAACCGGGCGGGGCGCTCCTTTTTCTTTCAACATATCCGCGGTAAAAACGGCAAACATCGATTCTTTTTTACTGTTTTTACCGGGGGGCGCTTCCTTTTTCAATACCATATCCGCGCTCAACACGGTAAAATTAATTGTTGTTCTTTTTGTACCGTTTTGATCGAGGGGGGCAAACGGCACTATGTTTTTTTTTTTTCAGTTTTTAACGGAGGGTCACCGCTGTTTCTTCTGCCATATCCGCGGTAGGTAAAAATCGAAAGTTTTCGATCCAAGTGATGTAGGCTTTCATTGCCCTGCAAAAGTTAAAAGTCATGACATTTTGATCAATCACCAAACTCCTCTTGTCGAAAAGGGCGCACGCTCCTATATGATAGGAGGAGTGAACCCCACCTGGTTATAAGAAGATACCTGGGCTGTAACATTAAACCTTTTTGTTGACAGAGGTCTTCTAGCTTGCGACCTGGTCCCGAGGCATTCTCGCGGTAAAAAACAGTCCAAAGTGAACATTACTACTTTTGTTGTTTACCTTTTTTAATGAAGAGTCGCTTGCTCTTTTTGCTTCTACCATCAGGGTTGCGGCAGGCATTCCCACAACCTTTCACAGCACGCAGGAAATTTGGAGTTGTTTTTTGAGCACAAACGCTACTCCATGAATGGGTTCGAATATGTTCGAAGCTTTTTGGGCAAATGTTGTTGTGGAAGCTCTCT